CTCCTGGAATTCAAAAGACATTGCAAAGGAACCTAATTTAAGGCCCCTGACGGTGCTGAAACTGCCATTTCGATATGGTGTGAATTGAAAAATACAGCCTTCTTTAGGGAAGGGATAGAGAGGTGGAAATCCTGCCTGCAGACGTGTACAGACCTAGATTGGAGGATATATTTAACCACAATAGCTTCACATTTTGATATTTTCAATGCTTTTGTAGCAATATTTTTGACTTATCCTTCTACTTGTCCTTTTGTGCCAGACTTAGTTCACTCTGGGTAATGTCTTCAGGGTCTGTCCATGTTGTGACAGGTACCAGAACTTCGCTTTCTTTACCGGCAGTGCATGCTAGTGATTCTTACCCGAATTTTTATGTTTTATGGATTGGCATCTATTAAGGAGCTGGCCCAGAATGAATGTATTTCTGGAATCTCTGTTTTTACCCCGTTGTTTGTTTTTTAAAAGTTAACTCAACATTATGTTAGTTTTGCTTGTTGCCTACTTTAGTCTGGTCAAGTCCCTCCACCGTTAATGCTTTAGGGGAAGATTTTCTCTCTGCCCTGTATCCTTCCCGTTGCATTTCATTGTTAGAGCGCACATGTCTCTAACCTGCCTGGTTTCTTGGCTGCAATTTTGCCTAAATGGGGGCAAGTGCTATCCTGAGCTTTCTGGGGAAAGGCTCTTAATGGGTGCTTGACTGATTAATGGGAGGACGAGTTTGAAGGTTCGATAACTCTTAAGAGGCAATTAGACTAACTCTGATCCCAGGCTAGAAACCACCTTCTGTGCTTTGATCACAAGGGAAACGGGAGAGATTTATCAACCCAGACTTTGCGTTCTTAATGAGCGAGGCTGTTCAGAGCACATGACGTGGAGTGCTGACTGCATGCTGTAGGACCGATATTTAGCCATCAATAAACCAAGTCAGATAATAAACAGAAAGAGGAAAGAAACAGTAGCTCATTAGTCCGGGGTGCTTGTTCCATCTGGGAGAGTCTTTGAAAGAACTTCGCGTCTCGGCATCCGCCGGAGTCTTAGAACTGTGGGAAGTCTGTTGGCAGTTTCTGTCTTGGCAGCACCTGTGAGGAGGGCACTGCTCTGCGTCGCCTGAGTCCAAGATGTAAGATGCCTGTGGATGGTTTTAATAGATCCTGCCCTATGTGGCCACCACTCTTTCAGTTACAAAGACTTTTTCTGTTTGATTATGGGCTTTGTACAGTATCAGGTGCCTCCAGCAACTGAGCATAGGTGTGTACTATATTCAGTTTTTTATCACATTGCCTAGTAAGTAGAAATGCCGTACTTGCAGTGAAAAAGGCAAGTGGTTTCCTCTCAGCTACCAACCTAAAGCTTGGTGGTTCAGACCCACCCAGCAGCACCGTGGAAGAAAGGCCTGGCGAACTGCTTCAGTAAAGATCACAGCCACGCAAAACCCACGGAGCAGTTGAACTGTGTAACACAGGAGTTCGTCATGAGTCAATCTAGACTCAATAGCCACGAGTTATTTTTGCTTGTGATTGTCCTACAAGTGACTTTGTGAATTCTGACATTAAGTAACCATTTTGTGTTCTTCTGTAGGAAAACAAAATGCTGTACGTTAGCACTTTTCTTCTTTTGCACGATAATTTTTCTGTTCTCTCTCTAGTTTCCTACCGCCTTTTCTCGTCAGATGCATGTTTGCTACCCGCAGTGTATGTATCATTTTTTCCTCCCTTTTGTTTTTCCCAATTAGCAAATAATTTTGGTAATAGTATACACATTTGCCATGCAGAAAATTTAATTTGTAAGAAATAACCAATGTTTAAATGATACTCTTTAGCCTAGAGAGCATGTCCACATGTCTCATTCTCTTTGGATTCGATGCATTGCTGCCAGGTGGGAATTTCTGCTTCAGTCATGTTTACAAAGGAGAACACTGGTAGAATTGAGGGGTGACCTGTCATAAGAGGTCTTCTGGTTTGAGGTTTGTTGGATTGAATTAGAGCTTACTGGAAGGAGCCCCATCTGGAGCCCTGGTGGCACAGGGGTTATATGTTGGGCTGCTAACTGCAAGGTTGGCAGTTCAAAACCACCAGCCGCTCTGTGGAAGAACGACACCGCTTTCTACTCCACTAATGAGTCACAGTCTTAGGAGCTCACAGGGTGCAGTTCTATTTTCTTCTACAGGGTTACACGAGTTGGAATTAGTTTGGTTTTTGGTTTGGAAGGATCCTTTTAAGGAGCCCACCTTGTCACAGCTGGGTAAGCATTGAACTGTCAAGTGAGAGGTTGGACGTTCAAATCCACAGACCACTCCTAGGGAGAAAGATGAGGCTATCTGATGGATTATCTAAAGAAACAAAACTAAGTGACACTCATGTATGTATAAGAAAGAACTTTGCATCAAGAAGGTGTCCTAGCCCAGTCCAGCTGAAGATGGACCATGAAGGTCACAAGGTTAGGAGCCCTCTTCAGGGTCACCTCGCTCCAGGTTGATGATGTACAAAGGTGAAGTGGGAAGCGGGAGATCACAGGCCGGTAGGTGCAGAGTCGAGTATATCCAGGGTTGGCTGGAACATGGTAGGGTGCTGACCATTCCGAGGTTGGTTCCCAGGGTCAGCGGCCTACTTGGGGTCACCCCTGGAGGCAGACACAGTGTTCCAGCAAACAGGGGAGACAAAAGGCGAGTGAGCAAGTGAGCAAGAACTTCTCCTTGACACTCTTATCATAAGGTGATACCCTCAAGGAGGCATCATCGGGCTGTGACCTGATTGGTAGGTTGGATTCCACCCCTACACTTTCACACAGGTTCAAATTGACATAGAATCTAACCGCCATAGTTCCCTTAAAGATGTACAGTCTAGGGGGGGAAAAAAAGAAAAAGATTTACAGTCTTGGAAACAGCACATCGGGTTGTTACAATCTCATGTAAGGTTGTTAAGGCCTCCCCAAATGGCCTCCCAAATAGACATGCAACCTAAAATAACCCTAACACATACTCGGAGAGTTCATGGATACAGCTCAAAGTGGGGCCTGGGGGCTGAGATCCTGAGCGAAGTTCTGGGGAAGGAGCTTGGTGATGCCCACGTCACCACTCAGAGTATGTGTGCTGTCATTAAGGGCAGTCTGAAAACGGATGCAGAACACTGGTTCCCTTTAAGTCTTCTTTTGTGAAATCAGAAATCTTCTGGGTCCTGTCGGTTAGTGGAAATAAGTACTGCAATAGATCTTTCATAAAAGGGAAGAATTCTTATCCATTTCTCCTCGTTAGTTTTTTCATTTGCTGGTGTTTGTGGGTGATCTCTGTAATTGAAACTGTTTTTGTATATTAACCTATTCCTTGACCTTACTAAACTCTCTAGTTTTACTAGTTTGTAGATCGCTTAGGATCTTTCCATAAAAATTATGATGTCATCAACCACTAGAAGCTGTTTTCCTGTGTCAGGTTGGTTTCTCTGGGGAAGCAAAGCCAGGGATGCTTGCGTGTGCTTGTGTATGGAACGTGGCTTAGATCAAGAAGTGGCTCTCCCAGTTGTAGAAGTCAGCCAGTCCAGTCTGGTTCAAGTCAGGCTTCTAACTTGTTCGTGTGGCGGTGGCAGTTGATGGACAGGAAGCAGGGTGCCAAAGCTGGGGGATGGCACAGGCTGGTGGAGGCAGAGGCAAATGAATGAATCACTCATCGGTACCCCCCCCCATGGTAGCCCTGGCATCATCAGGTGACACAATCGGAGATCCCTGAACCAGACGTAGGACCCAGCTTTAGCAGAAGGCAAAGAGCCAAAGAGAACTTGGCTCTTCTTCTTCTTCTTTTTTTTAATCATTTTATTGGGGGCTTGTACAACTCTTATCACAATCCATACATCCATCCATTGTGTCAAGCACATTTGTACATTTGTTGCCATCA